GAAAAGGAAAACAATCAGCGAAGCTGACAGGTCATCTGGTAAAGATCCAGCTCTCCAAGTCAACATATTCTTTTCTAAGGTGGCGTTTTATTGCTCTTACAGTAGATGTTGATTTTGTCATAGCAAGACCAGCCTGCCTAACTGTAATTCCTACAGCTGGTCTGAATTTTTCATGAAGCTCTTTGTTTGCATATTGGAGCACATTGGGAATCTTCTCTGAATGAGGCAGTACAATTAAGCAGGAGACACTTTGAGGCAATTTCTGCAGATCTGAAGAAGCCAGAAAAATGTTGCCATTTGCAGAAGTTATGCCCGGGGGCACCATTCAGAACTGCTCAGAGAAAGCACACAGGATCTGTGACAGGAAAAGAAAACCCCTTATCATTGTCTGTGCTTCAGTAACGCATGACTGCAGTAAGATTCCATTTGACAGCTTTTTGTCAGTGTTTCAGCCTGAACTCATTTTACTTCAAGATTTTTTGGATATATATTTTCAAGGCCAAATGGCATCACTAAGGTGTACATCCTGAAAAATGTAGGCCATAATTTGACATCCATTAGGTGGGTGGCCTATATGGTTTTTTGATGATAGGTCAGACCCTGAATGTGCACAGAAGTCACCACACACTTACTAAAAATATGTATGTGCACATGTTGTGCAGAAGAAGAAACATTCCACATATTACTTTTTGTCTGCTATTGAGAAAGTCATTGCAGACGTGATCTTTCAGATCCTGTAATATGCCCTGTACCTCTGAAGAATGTAAAATGGATTTCAGATGTCCACCTTTGAAAGGAGAAGACATGAGGCAGAGGACATAATCCATCTTTCAGCTGTTGTCTTCAACATCTCAGCCTTCTTTGGTTTTGGCATTTAGCTCTGACTTTGTGAAATTTGAAAAAAACCAAAACAACAAAAAATCTCCATTGTCATTCTAACATGATAATTCAAAGGCAGGATCTTCAAACTCTACAATGCATGACATTGCATGGATAAAGCAGATCAACAGTAGACAAAAATGTCTGGCAAATTAAGTTAATGGTATGTAGAAAAAAGAGAATTTGTTAAACATTGAAGTCCATTTTGCACTGTGGGAAGTTAGACTCCTGTTTCTTGGGATCTTTGGAAGTAATAGTATAGTAAAACACTTGACCTTACTCTCACCAACACATGACTAATGTCTTTCTTGAATATTTTGAATTTTTGTTCCTCTGCTATCTGCAAATGATTTTCTGAAATTAATTTTTACATGTGTGTCTAGAGAGTGATCTCACAACTGAAGAAAGCAGAAGCAGAGGCATAGTGCAGATCAATGTCTGGCTTTGTGGTTGGTGCCATCAAGAAGGCTTTGGCTTTTTTAGCAATGGATTGAACTTCAGTGACTCTAGTCTGTTAGGGAGAGATGGGATCCGCTTGTCTAAAAAGGGAGAGAAAATCTTTGGCAGCAGACTGGACAATTTGGTGAGATGATCTTTTCACTGAATGGCTTTTGGGGTCCAAAGTGGCAATGCTCATGCCTTTGCTTTTTCCTGGGCCATGCCAACCAGTGCTACCTTGGTCTCCTCTCAAATGAGAATCATAGGGCTATCCAGATCAAGGGTGTGTATTGCCATGGGGAATCCTGTTACACCTCTTCTGGGAATATGGGTGCTAGATTACCTCCCTGATGTGCCTGTACACAAATGCAGAGAGCATGGGAAATAAGCAAGAACTAGAAATCTCTGGGCATATGTGGCAGCAGCTCTCTGTCCACAGAGACCAACACATAACTTTCCCAGGCACTGTCCTGGGAAAGGCTGTGAGAAGATCAGAGAAAATAATGATAAAAAATTTTTATCTTCACTTGCTGCACTTGTTGTGAAAATGTGGAATGTGTTATGGAGATTTGTTTACCAAAGGATGGTTTCTTAATTGGCCAATGGTGATGGTGTTTAGATTAAAGGACCAATTGGGTCCACCTGTATCATGACTGTCTGTAAGGGTGATGGGTGATACTTAGTAAGTATAGTATAATAAAGTGATTGATCAGCCTCCTGAGAATCATGGAGTCAATCCTAATTATTACCCGGCTGGGGAACTGCGGCAACAGGCATGTGCTAATGTAGGGCCATTATATCATTGCATTTACAGAGATACGGTGGGATAGCTGGTGTGACTGGAATGTTACTTGGATGCCTATGTCGTTTTTAGAAAGGAGAGGTCAGTGAGATGAGGTGGTGCAGTTGTTCTTTGTATGAGAGAGAAACTGGAATGTATGGAGCTTGACTCAGGGACATACAAACTATTTGAGAGCTTAACATAAGACTTAAAGGACAGGCTAAAAAGGATGACAAGTATTATCAGCAGCGAAATGAAGATTGGGAAGATGTGGAGACACTGCTGAAGCAGATGGGTGTCCTGGTGATGCAAGACACAGAGAAGGCCAAATTACTGTATGCCTTCTTTGTCTCAGTCTTTACCGGTGAGGCCAGCTCTGAGGAGTCCCAGACCTCAGAGGCAAGAGAGGAAGGGTGGAGAAAGGAAGACGCCACCCTGGTCACAGAGGGTTGGGTTAGAGATCAGCTAGAGAGACCTAACACCCATAAATCCATGGGCTCTGATGGGATGCACCCATGGGAGCCCAGGGAGCTGGCAGATGTTGATAAGCCAACATCCATCATCTGTGAAAAAGCATGGAGAACAGGAGAGGTGCCCGATGACTGGAGCAAGTCAACATTACTGCCATCTCCAAAAAGGACAAGAAGGAGGACCTGGGAAGATATGCCCTGTCAGCCTCCCCTCCATACCTGAAAAGGGAATGGAACAGCCCATTCTGGAGGTCATGCCCAGGCATGTAGAGGACAATAAGGTCATTGGAAGCAGCCACCATATCTTAAAGGCAGATGTCAAGAGGATGGTGCTAGACTCTTTTCAGTGGTGCCCAGAGACAGGAGAAGTAATAGCCATAAACTAAAACACAAGAAGTTCCACCTTAACATGAGGAACAACTTCTTTTACTTTGAGTGTGGCAGAGCACTGGAACAGGCTGCCCAGGGATGTCATGGATTCTCCCGGTCTAGAGACACACAAAACCCACTTGGATGAGTTCCTTTGTAACCTGGTCTAGGTGATCCTGTCTTGTGCAGAGTTTGGGTTGAACTTGATGATATCCAGAGCTCTCGCAATTCTTTGGTTCTATGAACTGTTTTGACAATTATATTCTACCAGAAAGATGTCAGTAGTTTTGAGGGGGAAAAAAAAGAAGTACTGGATTTTCTAGTTAGATATGCTTTTCAGTGAAAGAGTAACAAGAATTTGATTTGTTTAGCTTACCATTTAGGAAAAAAAAAAAAAAAAGAAAAAAAAAGCAGCATGTTATTAAATAAAATATAGTTCAAGGTAATCTATTTTTTCCACAAACTTTTGAGAGCTGCCCCTTCTCTTTCAGATATAAATTACTCAGGAGATACACCTCCAGAAGACTTCTGCAAATTGCCTTACTTCTAGACTTTTCAGGCACAGTAGTACATTGCTAGTACTGGTCCAAGAGATGGTGCTAAGATCTTTAATTTTTATGCAGGGCAACATATGTAGATGTGCCCTTGTGTTGTTAAAATGCATAGCTATTTATTTTTTAAGATAATGATACCTTTTTTGTTAATATTGCAGATCCCACTTGGAAATCTATTAATTCCCTAAATAGTGGGATGTAATCCATTGTGTACTTGTAAGAAAATTTTCTGGTTCTGGTCTAGACAAAGCTGTTGTATGAGTTGTTTTAAAAAATAAATATATAATAACAAATATGTTCTCTCACATGAAAAAGTTAAAGTGCAGGTGTTCCACTGATCAACTTTTAAACAGTCTTCAAAGACGGGAAGAAAACCTCATATTTGGCATTATGTTTTGACATGTAGAAGGCTGCTTTTGTTAAGTTTATGGTCTTTGTTCAGGTAGAAATTTACGGCTATGTATATAAACACACACACACACATATGTAAAGAAATTATTTTGCCTTTTTCAGCACCTACAATTTCTGCTTCACTAGTTTTTCTATACTGCTTTGATTCCGTTTTTTAAACTTCCACTTGCAAAAGCTAAAATGCAGAAAAAACATGCAGATTGGGTTGAAAAAGTTGGGGCTGTTCAGCCTGCAAAAGAGAAGATTGTGTGCATGTCACAGCAGCCTTCCAGTATCTGAAGGAGGACTACAGGGAAGCTGGACAGGGTCTCTTCACTAGAAACTGCATTGATGTGACGAAGTGGAATGGCTTCAAACTGAAAGAGGGGAAATTCAGAAAGGAAATCCTTACAAATCATAAAATTATGAAATAAATTATTTATTGTGAGAGTGGTGAGGCGCTGGAACAGGCTGCCCAAAGAAGTTGCGGATGTCTCACCCCTGTCAGTGTTCAAGGCTGGTTTGGAACATGGCTTCGCGCCACCTGGCCAAGTGGAAGATGTTCTAGGCCCATGGTCTAGAACTAGATCGTCTTTAAGGCTCCTTCCTAGCAAAACAATTCTATGATTCTATCTACATGGTGGAAACTCCTGAGCTGAGTTAATGACGACCATGGAATAAACAGATTGACTAACTTTTCTTCTTTTAAAATGAAGAAAATACCGGCATCATCCATTTGGCTGTTGAAAATAGGTACTGAAACAGCCTTCCTGAGTTTTCTGTCGCTCCGTCTCTGATTTCAGACACTCAGCCTCGCCTACGTGCTGCTTTCCAGAAACTGAAGAGCCTGTGGTCAAGACAGGAAATCTGTAACTCAGCAGAAGCGCTGGTGAAGGAATAACTCTGCCGGAGCCGCTGGGGCGGAGAGCGCAGGGCGGCGCAGGGCGGCGCACACACTGCTCCGCTCTGCCCAGCTCAGCCCAGTACGCTTCTCAGCCGGAGACACCAGCGGGACGGCGAGGGACTAGGTGGCGAGGGGCGGGATCTCTCCTGCGCCCCGCCCCGCCCCGCCTTGCCCGCCTCCTGCCGCCGCTCTTCTTTGCCGCGGGCGACGGGGGCAACGAGAGGCGACGCGCCGGCCCTCGCCCTTCTGCTCGGGGGGGCCGCAGCCGGCGGCACGGTGAGGTGAGGCCGCCGGGCAGGGCGCGAGGGTCGCCGAGCAGGGCACGAGGGTCGCCGGGCCGCGGCTCTGCCGGCTGTGCCCCGCCGGGCTCGTCTCGGCCGGCGGCGGTGGGGGACGAGCGGCAGCCCCGGCGCGGGGTGGGCGCGGTGGGCGGCTGCCGGCCGTGAGGGCGGTGAGGGGCGGCCCCGCGCGGGCTCCGGCCCGCGGGCGCTTCCCGCTCGCCGCCGGCAGTGCTCGCAGAGGTACCGGGCCGGCGTGCCAGGGCTTAACTGGCGTGCCTGCCGGACACTGATAGCGTTTTCTTCTTTCTTCAGCCAGCCTTCCCTCTTAAGGGTCTTGAGCCGGAAACATCTTTGAATATTCGCAGCGGAGGTAGAAATAATAATATTAGAAATCAATGCAGGTGTGAGATACCTCCTCCCGGCTACCTTTCTCGGGAAGGGTCGGACTAGGTGGCCTCTCCTGGTTTGTCGCAGTCGGGTGGTGACCTGAGATTGTTGACCATCCTCCCCTTCCTTCCGAGCTAGCTCTGCGGCTGTCCGACCCCTGGGTTCCCTCCCCAGGGCAGAGCCGCGGAGGCCGTACCGCTGCTCAGGGGACTGATGGCTTTTCAAAAGTTCGTGCCTCCAGAGGCCTTCCCGCCTCTGCTTGGAAAAGTGTTACCCCTACCTCTTCAGAAATTTTAATTCGGATGTTGGGTACCCAGTAGGCACTGTGTTTATCGCCTACACGCAGGAAGTTTGATTTGTTTTACTTTATTGGATTCCTTTGTCAGCATGAAGATAGAAGGAGTTGATCAGATTTTTAGAAAATCTTGACTTTTTTTGAATAGTCTTTCATCTTACATCTTAACAGTACTTTGCTTTTAAAGAACTATTTATATAGTTGAATTTTTTTTTCACTCCTAGTGGGAGGTCTGCAAATTTTGCAATCAAACCATATGTGTAGTTTTGTAGTGGTGGGGAAATGGTAGAAATTTACTGAGCTTTCCATCACATATCTAAACTTACTGTACTCTGTTTCATAATCTTTGTTTAAGATAAGTGGGTGTCCTATTAATTGTGATCTTGAGCTGGTTCATGTTGTATGGGAAAAATACCAGCAACAAATTATACGAATAAAAATGAGTAGTCTGACTAACTCTTGAGATAGTTCAGGTGTGTAAGTTTTCTTGTTTAATTTTGTTTCATACACATTATTTTCAGTGGTAATACTTTTATCTAAAAGTACACCTGGGCAACATATCCAGGTATTCTAGAACGTATTTAGTTAGCCAACTTCTGTTGTTGGGATAGATACCTACTTTAAGCCCCTAGCTTCTGTTTTGCCAGATACCTATTTGGGAATTCTCTTTAATCAGATAAAGGGCATTGAGGGTGTTTGGATATTAGCTTCATGTCATTTGAAAGAAGAGAGACTTCTTGAGCTAAAATATGATTAGTGAACAAATGGTAACAGTGGCCCTTTCCTTGGACAGATAGTGCATTTTTAGGGTTTTCCTAGTTTTCTGATCTGTTACTTCTGTTTTAAAATGCATTAGAAAAGGAAGACCTGACACCTGAATTGACTGTCAAATTAATGGTTATTCCTGAGCAGGATGAGAGTGGAGTTGCTGAATGTGTTGTGGTGAAAATGCCCTTCCCTTCCTGTAAAAAGTGTAGCTTGATAATTTTGGTAAATAGTGACTCTGTGACATTAATCCGAAGTATAGAAGTTTGAGTAATGGCTGTTGCTGTGTGTTTCAGAGTGTTTTTTCTTTTCTTTTTTTCCTGCAGTTTGTAAATCCTTGTGAAAGGCATGTAGGAAGTTTATGGTCAGCAGACTTCAGTTCTTCAGTTGAGTTCAGTGCACAAACTTTAAATCTCCAGTGGCAAAATGTTAGTTTGACCTTTTTTGACTTGCAAATTCGAAAGGAAAAACCACCCTCAGACAGTGTTGCTGCAGAGGATGGTAAGAAATCTGTATGCTCTGTTTTGTGACAGTGTACAGTTCCTTGAGCCCTGTGTACAGTCTGTGCAACTTTGAAAGCATAAAGGTTGCTGCTGGCTATAACTGGTTCTCACCACAGGGCTGTGAATAGTGTTACTTGTAAGATCCTGCTGTGAGTAAGAACCAACTGGATTTATCTTTCAAAGATAATCACTACTGTGTATTAACCATTTATACAATGAAAACTGAAAGGTTTTGACTCATTTTTTTCTGCACTCTTTTTCCGCCCACCCAAAAAATGGTCACCTTTAGACCGGGCACATGAATGTTTGCTCTCTGATGCACTCTTTTAAGAATTACTTATTTTTCTGATTTCATTTAATTGTTTTTTAAAATAAAACTCAAGTTGTAGTATCTTTTAGTCTGATTCAATTGTGTCTAGGTATATCTAACTAATTTGTCAATGGAAGAAGTTTTGATTAACTTGATTGGTTAATACAGTATGCTTTAATTTGAGCAGTCAGACATAGGAATTTCCTGACAATATCTGAAAAAAACTCCAGTGATTTCTTCCAGAAGCTCACTGGGAGGTTGGAAAAGAATCTGCAATAGGTGGGGAAAGCACCACTGTCTGAGGGGCTCCCTTGATGGAGGAGGTTTCCCCATTCTGGTCCAGTCTGGTTGGTATGGGATTGTGTGACCTCTATGCTGTGCTTTAGCCCTTTGGTCCTTGTTGGGGCTTTTTATTTTTTTCTTTTTTTTTTTTTTATCTCTTGTCTCTAGTTTTTGCAGGGGTTTTAGTAAGGCTTTGTCCTTACTAATTTTTGCAAGTACTCAGACCTCCAAGAAGCTGTGCCTTCACTTTCCAGTGGCTGCTTCAGCTGTGGTCTGTCTTTAGATGCTGCTCTGGCTTATACTGGCTTTGTACCACGCAGCGGCTGGGTGGTGGAGGAGGTGGTTGGTAGGCAGGTATGCTGGCAGGGGATAAGGGAACATTTTTCCTACACTGACTCCTGTGTGTGTATATTGAATTGTTCACCTTTTCTGGTTGCTTCTGCTCGGTGGGTCTTACGGAAGTACACAGAGCTGAACCCTGTGAGCAGAGAGACTTGGCTTTCCTTCGGGGAGTCTGAAATGCACCATTTTGTTTTGTCTTTACCACTAGTGTATTGGTCTTGAGGCTTGGTTGGCAATGTTGTTGCTTATCTGTAGTGAAAGATTCCTGGATATCACATATCCTACTTCATTTGAGTACAGTAAAAAAAATTGCTTACTGTGGGAAGTAAAAGTATGCTGTATGTTAATTTGCTTGAATATCTCAGAGTCTAAAACCTCTCCTTCTCAGTGAAGCACCACTGGGTTGGAAAAACAGAAGGATGAAATCCTCTGTTCGGAAGTCAGGAATTTTACAAATATGCTTATTTTTACATCTGCCGTGGACATTGTTGAATTTCATCTTCAGTAAAATTACTTTCTTACCCATAAAATCAGAAACTTATTTTAAATCCAACTCAAATAACTGTGCCAGACCAGATGTTTCCTGGAAAAACAGCATGTGCAAACAGATTTTCATGTAAATGTGCTTATTGAGCTGATTTGCTTATCTCTCCTCCAAAATATGTGAGTATTTATATCCATGGCAGAAAGTTAAACAGTTTTTATTTTTTAAACTAATGAGAGAGGGAATATCAATATTGCAACTGAGGTATAAAATTTTGGGTCTGCAGTACGTGAACAGAAGAGCCTTCTGTGTCTTTCATGCCTTTTCTCTTCCTTTTGCTTTTCCTTCTGTTCAGTATAAAAATATATTCCTAATTAATATAAATGACTTAAGGGTAAACAACACTGCTATTTTTTAGAAAGAGCAATGTACTGAAGTCAAACATGCTTTAGTGATATCAGCATTTATTTGCCTGTTTGTTTTTAACAGGTGAAAATAGCAGAAAAGGTGCTGATGCTGCCAGATTTGTGTACTATCTAGGTGTATTGGCATTTTTTAGCATGGTTTTGTGCCTGTGCTTTAAGCTGCATGGTGAACTAATCATTCTTTCTTTGAACAATGTACTTGCTTTGCCTCTGGAAATTTTTGAGCTAAACAGCTAGTCCCATATATTTATCTAGTAGATAAATCACAGTGCAAGCTGTTACTGCTGATAATCTGAACTGTTTTCTCTATTTCTGACAGCTATGGGAAAAATACCAGTTATTTTATTCAAGTCACACTTAGAATGAATCACTGCATCTTGCAGTGCAGTTTGTAGTTTTTCCATGTGTCAAGTGTACCTACTATTACAGCAAAGAACAAGATACAGATGACTTCATAATGGGTTCCAACAGACCTTCCTTGAAATACAGTATCGTGTTCTGGTATGCAAATGTAAATAGATTCTCTTGTTCTTTGCTGGGATGGCAGTGCTAACTTCATTGTGCCCTTTGTGCTCTCATTTTTGCTACTCTGAAGGTCCGGGGTTCTTGGTTTTCAGGGATCATGTGTAAGACATGGTGGCTCTGTACTTCTCAGGTGCTTCTTTTAGGACGACACAGTAGGATAATAGTCTGAGCAAATATATGTGTTTCTGCAATTCATAGCTCTCTACTGGAAATTTGTGCATGTCTCTGTGTGTTTTAATCTACTGTGTGTTAATTTTTTGCATTACAAGAAAAGAAATAAAACAGTGTGGTTCCTTTCCTTGCCTTTGCTTCTTACTGTTGACCTTACTTTGTCTGTGGCCCTGTGGGTGTCCACTGGAGCTGCGCTGCATGTGTCCCTTTGCGCCTTAGCTGAGGTTTCCTTTAGGCAAGAAGCTCAAGTCTCAGGTGTTAGACTTCTTTGGATTGTTTTGTGGTGTTTGTGTGTTTATGAAGAAGCAGCAGTTTCAGGAAGCTTCATTTTACTCTTATATCCTCTGTATGTACCCTCAAATACAAATTAGGAAACTTTTCAAATGACCACATGGATTTGAAACCTTTGTGAATCTGGCAGTATTGTGCACTGTCTGTTGAGAAACGAGAAGATAGATTATATCTTGACTACAGAGAGGGAATTTTGCAGAGAATGCAAGTGGACACTGAGGTATAGGTGAGCTGTTGAAGGACTTAAGTGCTGGATGTACAGTAACATTTGCATTTCCAGTACTTGCAAAATGTTGGCATCACATATTTCCCCTGTGTTTATAGTGTATGTTCACATGTAAATCCTTTGAGAGTTGCAACCATTTATTAATTTTTAAAACATTGCCGCTGTGTGTTGCAACAGTAGGGAAGAGGTTGCTTTGCTTAAAAACGTACCTTGAAAGCTTGTACAATATATTACTAGTAAGTGTACCCATTTTAGATTTAACTAGTATCATGTGATACATATATACTTGCTGTCTGCCTGATCTGCTGTGCTTATTTTTGCTGTCTTTTGTCTGCAGGAATGCAGAAAGAAAAAAAGTTAATCTCAGTTTACAAGGGAGCAATCTTCTACAAACTGCAGCAAAGATTCCCTGGAGTTTGAGGATTCATGAAGCTAGGTGCCATTAAGCTTATTAAGACCAGATTTCACCACACCATAATCAATGTGTGCATATTGCAAAGAGAATTGCAGCTACCCTTTGCCCCTGCCTATCTTTTAAGATGGTCCGTTTCACAGAAATAACACAAATCTCAATAACAACCAGTAGTATCCCTGGTACTGCTAATTCATTATTTATTTTCTGTAGAAGCAGAGAAAGCAGGTGAGGATCAAAATGGAGAACACTTAATGCAATGTAGCTTTGAAATCAGTGGAGTATCTGCTCATATTTATATTAATTGTTATTTTTAGATTCTCCTTTAAATAATTTGGTTCAGTCTTATTTACATATTTATTTACAAGCTTGGAACAAGAAGTTAGAATAATAGTGTCAGATGGAGTAAGTTGAAACTGTCCAATTTTAGAAAGCAAAGTGCAAATTACTCCTCAAACAGCAAGACTAAATTAATTTTCGGAAAAAAGCTATCTATTCTCTAACTCAGTGTTGTCTGCCTAGATTTTTGGGTAGATGTATGATAAAAGAACGGCTGGTTCTGTTTATTGCAGATTTTCATTATATTGTTAGGAGTATTCAAGACAACCCCCTCAAGAGCATGTGAAGCTTTATGTACAGTCTAATAGTGTGCGATGACCTTTCTTTGTCTTTCAGATGGAAATATCTAGACAGGTCAACACCAATACATTTACCTTCCTTGCTGGGTGTAAGCCTGTCAGCTGCCAGCTGTTGCATTAATACAACGAAAGTTTTATTGCATGTATAAAATAGCTGTAGTTGGGGATGCAGTATAATATGCTCTTTTTAATTTGCAGGTTTCCATACTTGCTGTGATTCTTCGGATTTGTTCTTTTCTTGAAATGGTAGGACTAGGAAACAGCTGTCGTGGGATGAAGTCTCCACCTCTCCTCATGGCTGCGCTCGTGGCGTGCATAATTGTTTTGGGTTTCAATTACTGGGCTGCAAGTTCTCGCAGCATGGATCTGCAGGTAATGTTCCTTTTGCTCTGCACGTCACTTTGTATTTCTGCAAGTAGTAAACATAGTTCACAGGAAGGATGTTTCTCATTCATGTGGCCAGTCAGGAACTTCAGCTTTTTGTAGGAACTATCACAAGTTTTACAGTCCTTGCTTATCAGTAGTGGGGGAATGGGATGAATGCCTGTTTGTACATGAGAGGAAACCAAAACTTGAACACACCTACATGTGTGATTCTTGTTACTTCTGCTCTCACAAAACATTCATCTGTCTTGTGCTGTTTCACATTAAAGATGTGACAAATGTCATCCTCTTTTGTCCCCTCCCAACCTCCCAAGCACCCCCAACTTCCTCACCATTGTGGCAGTATGCAAAGCAGAAAAGGCATTGGCTTTTGCAAGCCCTGCTCAGCAATAACAAAAACACCTTTATATTATCAACCCTGTGTTCATCACAAATCCAAAACAGAGCCCCATGCCAGTCACTGTGAAGAAAATTAACTCTATCCAGTCAAAATTGGCATGCTGATATTCCTAGATTTGTCTTTGTACGTGACCTATAACATTGGATGCATACTGTACAAGGAAATCTGGGTTGTTCAGAAACAAAATCTGAATTTGTGTTTCTTAGCGATCTTTCTGAAGAAGGACATACAAGTCACAAGTAATAATTAACTTGTCTCATGATAACTATATTTTTCTGATGATAACTATATTTTTTGTGGCTATTGAGCTTGGGTTTTAATCCTTTCTGGACCATTTGTTCTGATGTAGGGTATATGAGTCAAGTTTCTGGTTTGTGACAATCTCTGCAGGACAGGTTTTTTCCCCTCTTTTTTTGATTGTTTTCTTTTGTTTTGTTATTGTTTTTAACAAGCTGACCTAAAAGCTAACAACATGTTGATTAAATGTGGCTCATGAGAGCTCCTTCCCAGTTTATCCAGTGAATTTGCATGCTCTTTATAATTGAGCTAAAGTTTAGTACTGAGTGGACAGCTGAAGGAGTTGAACTCCTGTTTCACCTCAGAGCAGGCACTATTCAAACAGGGCAATTGTGTCTGGCCATGCGGTATGTCTTATGACTTCTGAGACCCTGGTCATCCCTTGCTTTCCCTTCAGTCAGTGGCCTCAGGATGGTGGCTACCAGTGGGTAGTAACTGTGTCAGTACTACTGAAGTGTTGCTGCACAGCCATGAAGCAGCTGATAATGAGAAAAATATGACACCATCCTGGTTTATCTTGGTCTCAATAACCTAGAAACAAGGTCCTCTGATATTACTCATGTGCCCTACCATCTTACACATTTCTTCTGAAGTTAGCCTGAAAATTACTTCACTTTGGCATGGTCACACACTCTGAATGGAATAAAAGCATAGCTGAACAGGGATGGAGCTTCTAAAGCACTCTGTACAACTGTTTGTTTGTTGGCAAGACTTTGCAGCTGTTATGACTGAAACAGAAGGCATGTTTTTCCTTGCTATACCAGGCACACTGCAAGTAATTTTCCTTTTTTTTTCCCCTCTGGCTCCTCTCCCTTTTCTTTCTTTCTGTGGTAGAGAGGCAGGGTAGGTGGGACATGACATGCTACGTACTGTGGTGTAAGAAGATTTGGTACATTTTCTTGGAGTCTTGGAACATGCATAATTTTTACTGTATCTAATTTTCAGTCCACCTGGAATCACCAGGTCTTTTTTCTTATGGGTAGGTTCTGTTGATATCCCCAGCCCCAGCATGTTTTTGTATTCCTCGCTGCTGCTGAAGAAAAAATTTAATCCAAAATGTTTAGAAACAACATCCTGCAAAATTAAATTGGTACTTAAAAAGAGAAGGGCAGGAGGAGGAGTAAAGCTTGTGAAAACATGAGACTTGATTCCTTAGCTTATTTCTCTCTCATCATATGTACGGGATGTGATGGTGTTGAGTTTTCTTCTGACTGTAGCTGCTCTTTGAGCAGTCAAGAAGAATGATGATTTTGTGTTTATGAATGAGTGAATTTTTCTCCTATATGTCTTTGTGTAATAGCCATGTGTGAATTGTTCATGTAAAAGTTGGGCAGTGTTGCCCTCCCTCTACTCTTTCCTAGCTCTTCCAGGAAAGCAGATTGATGGCTGAGTTTTCATACTGAGTTAGTTTGGGGTCAACACTGAGAAGTGTAGAGCTGTCAGAATTGTATGGGCTAAATTAAAAAAATTGTTTGACTTTGTACTTCAGAAGGATTGTAGTCTCTAATCTTTTTTATGTTTATGTTTTGGGGTGTTTTTTTAAGCTCAAGTACTGAGCTTTTAATTTTTCTCATCTTTACCAGAAATTTTACAGTCTTTACAAAATACGCACTCCTGTTAATTTACGTAAAACTAGGGAGGTGTGTATCTATGTGTATGACTATTATCCCAGGCTGACACAGGACTTTCATGCATTGTTAGCTCTGTAAAATTTGCTATTCCTTGAATATACTGGACAAGATTCTGGCAAGGTGGAAGCATTTCTGTTTGCTTTGGCTAATCTGCTCTTCCTCAGGGTCGAGTCATGGATCTGGAAGGCAAAGTCCGCAGGGCGGCAGCGGAGAGGGGTGCTGTGGAACAAAAAAAGAATGAATTCCAAGGGGAGCTAGAGAAGCAGCGACAGCAGATTGACAAAATCCAGTCCTTGCACAGCTTTCAGATGGAAAATGCCAACAGAGTACATCAGGAAGAGAAGGTAGGGCTTTTCCTAGCCACAGTTTTCTGTGAGACTGTCGTTTACCAAGACACACTGTGCAATGGGAAGTGGTGCTCATGTGTTGCAGCTTACAGTCAATGTTGGTGTGGCAAAACATTTTATATTGTATCACATTGAGAAAATGGACCTTGAATGGACATTTTAGCATTCGTTGTATAATTCTGAAATACTAGAAGCTGCAAGTAACAGCACTGAATAAAACTCTTATCCTCTCTATAAATCCTTACCATACTTGGATTGTCCCTTCACTTTCTTTCCTGTATACTAATCTTTTAAGAATTAAGAAAAAGAGGAAGATGCACCAAAAGATATATTCCCAAATATATCTGAAAGCAGAAATGGTTGAGGTTTATTTCTAAATGCATTACAAATTTTGTGGCATCTTGGCTTTCTGCCTCCAAAACTCAGTGGTATTGGGAAGATATGAGAAGGTGAGCCTTTCTCGGCAGTGCAACTTTGCCAGGGGGATGGTATTCCTTTATGAAGAATGTGAACAAAGTTACTTAAATAGCAGTGTGTGTGATTCCTGCTGTGTAGTATTTTGCAAACTGGTTTGATGTGTATTTTCCTTGAGTTGCTGATGCCACCTTGATTGCAGTTGTTAGTCAGTAATATCACTTTTCTCCCTATTAGTATAAGTATTTGCTGAGAGTATTCAATTGCTTCTCCCATAGAGTCTCTGGACTGTTTGTAGATCAGCTTTCCAGGACTATTATGTTCTTCAGGTTGAACAGTCACATCTTGTGATGGTAATAGGTACTCTTCAGGTAGCAGGTTCACTGTGGTTTGCTCCTCAAAATGTGTTGGCTGAGAAAAATATCACCAGATTAATCTTTGAAGAACTTAGAGGAACAAAATTGAGTAAAAATGGAAGATTGATGCACACATTCTATGTCATATATCATTAGTTTATTTCAAAAGAATCTTTACCCCAAGTCTTCAAGGAAAAAATAAACCAATTCTTTTTACCTCTTTTGAGACAAACATGGATCCTTGATAATTTCTCCCTTCTCTTGGTGCTCAGTCTTTGCATATACTTTAAAATAGATGAGGTGTAGTTTGTCTATTTATTTTTTCAACGTGTGCATTTTTTGAAAAGATATCTCAGAATATTCAGACAAGATTCAAGTGAGTAATCAAATCTTGTCACTTCTGCCTCCTGTTATTGGGTATTGCTACTGAATGCTGTGGCATTTTCTTGCCTTCTGCTTCAGTCCTACAGGGAGTGAAAACACACGCATGAATAGGAAAAATGAAATTCAAAGGTAAGAAAAGGGCAAATATAATGGAGTATTATGATTCCTTTCCATAAGCAGATATTGCCAGAGCTACTAAAAGACACTGAAAGGGCTGGCCAGGGGGCTTTCAGCACAGGCTAGCAAGAGGGGCAGATGTTGAGAGATGGTGACAGGACCTTATCCCAGAGTATTAAGGAAGTTTAGTGAATTAAATGTTTCTTCTGCCAAGCATGATGTACCATCTTTTTGCTTCAGATTTCTGGCATTAGATGAGTGGTAGGTGGCATTACACAATCCACTTTCCTTGTGGTGTTTTTGAGCCTAGAGGACATATAGGAACTGTTCATAAAATGTGGCATCCAGGCCAGGAAAAGTAGTGATAGGTAGAACTGCTGTTGTACATGGGGTATAATGTGGTATCTGGGGAAGAGTCAATGTGGCTTCTGGAAAAGAAAGTCTTTCTTCTGAAGCATCTTGAAGCTTTCTCCTGAAGGAGTTGGTGATGAAGGTGAGGGAGACAAGTGAACATACTCGCACCTGAAGTTGAAGTGGCTTGTAGAGATATTATGCAGCCTTGTGGTCAGACAGTGATATTGCAACGGTGAATGACAAGGCAAAAGTTACAGAGCAGCTTAGAAATACACTGGGTTAATTATTGTACTGTGTGTGGGGGGTCACCAGTGGAGTTTTGAAGTGCTGTGAAAGGCCCAGAGAGGAGAGCAAAGGTCACCAAAGCTGTGCAGTAATTTCTCTGCAGGAATCCAGGGCATGGTTTACAGGCTGGACAAGGGTCAGCAGAGGAGAACCATCACAGTCATCTTCAGGATTCCAAATGGTACAGAAAATGTTTGTGGCTGTGAGAGGGAAGGCAGTGTTGTCCTGCATTCACTGATGTGCTTCAAATGCCATCATCAAGTTGTAGTTCAGACTGAGCAGAAGGTAGTGCTCTTCATGTAATAGGTGGTGAAGCTGCAAGTGCATGGCATCCATAATACTCAGGTACAGTGGGTCTGTGTAGGTTAACGAGCAACTGGATGACCTTGGACAAACACCTAACCCACTTCCAAGGCGTTTGTTCTGTCTCCAAGTGTTCCTCAGACAGAAGAAGCTGCTGCTTGGAAAATACTGTGCTTTATGGCTGCCTTGGAATTCATTTGGCATTTCAGTGTTAGAGGTGGGATGCTGGGAAAGGTGGATTTTGGGGCTGATGTAGTTGAAATTCCTGCCTCCTAAGTGCTTTTCCCTCTATCACCCTAAAATACAGTTGTTCAGTAATGGAATAGTCTATAAAGCTTGCTTTGAAACCCCAGGAAGTGATACCCTAGGGAAGTGGTGCATTGGACTAATTTCCTGACTTCTGTGTTCTGTGACCGGAGAAGAGTGTGTGTCTCACTCAAGAGCCTGAAATGGTAGGGTGAGCAGGTATGTGCCCGTGCACCATTTTGCATCAAATTCAAAATTTGCTTTTCTTGTGACACACAAAGAAATATCCTGCAGAGATGCTGTTTTCCAACAAGAGTGGGGAGAGCTGTTTTGCTGGAAAGCTGTGCATTTGTCAAAAGAAGACATCAGCCAAGCTGGTGTGTATTCATCCACTGTAATTCAGGAATATCTCTGATGCAGTGGCAGGGAAGACAGGGAAACCTTAATTCTCCTCACTGATGACCTTTATTGTAAGAAGCTGTCCAGGATCAGAGATTATTCTACAGAGGGATATGGAATATAACAAAAGACAGCTTCGGAGTGCTTTTTTGTTCATGTGTATCTCTATCCATGTATAAATGTGTTTTGTATGTTCATATCTTGTGTATATAAGATATGATGGTATATACAGGATGTAAATGTATATCCTTGTTTTTTGGCACCATGGATTGCAGTGTAATCTGAGATTCTTGGGAGGCAAGTAATGAATTCACCCTTTCTGATTGTGCGAAGCTTGCTCCTTGAACTGAACTTTTACTCTGTGAGGATTAGTGACTAGTGTTTACCTAGTCAGGAAAAATGAATGCAAATCCAAATCCTGAGATACTCAACCCATTTTACAAGCATTTTACAAATTATAACTAACTAGAGATCTTCAAGTAATAAATAAGGTTTTGCTTAGTTCCTGCTGTTCTTAAAGAAAAATTAAAGTGCTTTCAGCAGTTCTGTAGGAATGATTGGTCCCTCTCAAACCTCCCACTTTTTGAGGAAGAAATTATGTCTCTTTTGGCTGTAGAAGAAACTCACATATGAGGCATACTTACACAATCTGGATTTCTAAGAACAAGTCACAAGTAACATTTGAGACCCATCATAATTGCAGTTCATCTCTGCTCACTGTGTCTTATTACTCTGCTGATAAAATACAGAATAATTACACTACTGACTTACTTTCATACCAAACCAAAACACCAGTCGGGTGTTTTGCCCAGTTAACGTCATTGTCACTAGCAGTGCAGTAATCACTTTGAGTTAAATCTGCCTTCTTTTGTAGTAGAACCGTATCTGTGCTGCTTGAAGGATGAGAAGGTCAGTAGTCTGAGCCTGTCATACTGTGTGGGCTCATTCACTGGGACAGTGTAGTTCTGGAAAATTACTGTTGTAATTATTTTCTTAGGTCTGAAAGTGTATAAAACACTACTGTCACCAGTCTATTTTTAAAAATCCTGTTTGAATTTTTAAGGATTAGTGTAGATTTAGGAAATGGCTTCTGGAAGTCCATACAGAAGTAGAATGACAAGACCAAGTAGTCTTACATGAACACTTGATAACAACAGTTCAGGAGTGCAAAAAGACTGTTTCTAATCTGTGTGGTTGTTATTCAGGACTTGTAGCTTCTGGGATGTACAGAGCCACAGACGTCTCTTTGAAGAGCATAAGAGGACAACAATGTGTTTAATATCTCTGGAATGTATGAGTATGATTTTGCGGTTGGTAGTTTTCTTTGGACTTACATAAATCTTCTCCAGCCCAAATCTTGTTTTATTGAGAAGCGCCAAGATTTGTATGTTCTATGTGAAGCATGTCACTGTCCTGTTATTCAGTATCTTTTAACTCTGGCCACAGCTGCTCTCTGGTGCCCTCCTTCTGGGAAAATTTCAATTGCCAGCACAGTCTTCTGACACAAAGTACCTATTGGTATGCAGGAAATCGACTCCACTCAGAAGGAAATACAGTAGTTTGTAGGAGAGAGTAGAAAGGTACCTTTTCCTTTTCACTGAGGACTATATATATTCTGATTTTTCGATTTTTTTTTTTCCAACCCAGTGTTGTGTCTTCTAGTTTTGACAAAGCTTTGAGGTAAGCACTGCCTCATGTCTCATATTTGCCGCAGCACAATATTACTAAATTATCAAGGGAAATCAGTATGCTTCTTCATAACTGGTACATCAGATCACCTCTGTTCAAAACATATCTTCACATAGTGGAAAGAAAAAAAAAGAAAGTTTTATATTAATATTCTCATATCGTATGATTTTGCTTTGCTTACATTGCCTACTATTTGGGTTATGGTTAAACACAAAATGAGGGAAAGTGATTAAAGTGAAGTGAAAGTCCTGTAGTTTTACAGGGCTTTTTTTCTCCAATCTACTTGGTGTTGCCCAGTACCTGTAATAGTAATTTTGTATTCATGTGTGTCAAATACCACCCTCTTGTGCTTAAATGTTAAGAAACTAACTTTGCAATTTTGGGTTTTGTTAAGTATGTGGGTTGTTCATTTGTTTGGTTGGGTGGTTTTTGTTTGGGGTTCTTTTGTTGGTTGGCTGGAGTTTTTTGTGTTTATTGAGGAAAAGTGCAATTTCTGAATGGAATTCTGTTTATTGGGAAATAGGTTTCAATTAATAATATCTCCTCCATTTTGAGCTTGAAATTTGTTGTAAGGTTTACTTAATTGATGGGCCTCTACTGAAGTATACATGAGTGTGCAACACAATGATCAACCTAAAAGAGAAATATTTCCCTGAAAACCATATTTATGAATGTTTTCCCCACACACTAATACGTAGTTTAGCTCTTTGTCTCTTGGCCTGGAAACAAAAAGTCTTTTTATGGCTGGTTCTCATGTTTTAACACCAGCTGGCAAGTAAGTATCATGCAGACACTTTGTCACTCTCGCGTCTTCCTCTAGATTTTTGAAGAAAACTCTGTGTTGAGGTAAGAACAATTTGATCACTGAGAGGAATAAAACCCAACAGAAATAAGACATACACAGTCCCATTGCTCAGCACCTGCCGTGTGGTGCCTGACTTGTCCCCCAGCAGCTATCAATGCCTCCTCCCCCACTTTATGTCCCAATGTTCTATGGTAAGGAATGTCCCTTTCGCCAGTTTGAGATGCCTGACAGAGCTTCCTTCTGGTTTCTTGTGCACCTGCTGCCTGGCAGGGCATGGGAAATGGGCAAGTCCTTGCCTTAGTGTAAGCGCTACTGAGCAGTAACTAAAACATCAGTGTGTTGCCAGCATTATTCTCATGCTAATACCAGAGTAGCGTGGGGAGTCGTGGGAGGATGCAAGACAGAGCTGCTCTTTCTCTTTGCTGGAAGGACTTAAATCAGTTTGAGTTAATCATGAAATAAGTGCCCTGCTTTTCCCTGATTAATTAGAAATGTCTGTTTCTACATGTATAAATCTTACCTTCCCATCTTGCTTTATTCACAGTTGGTTTTGTTCTTACCAGTTGAGTTACTCATCCTGTGGCGTATCTTTGTCTCTTTTGTGCTAAATTTGTGTATGCAAAGCCCCTTTTTTCTTAAGTTTTAGTGTTGATGCTTATCAAACTATTTGCTTTCTTTTTTCTGTTGCAGTTATGCTTTTACATACATGCTCATTATGCTTTTACATCCACCACATACAGTCAGTGTTAGAAAGGACATATGTCAGTTCAGTGTGCTTGGGTTAGCTTGCTCTTGATAGTAGCAAATGCTACTATAGTAATTCCTCCAAGGAATATGTGTACGGAGAATACTGTTTGGCATTATTCAGATGAAATGCATTTACATAGTCCAAAGTATGTGCTCAAAACAAATACTTCAAATAATTTATCACAAATTTCCTCGTGCATATTTCTGCACCGTGCTTTATTATTTTTAAACAATAACTTTAACTTTGTGTTTCTTAAGTGGAATAATACTTATGTAGACATGTTCTGTGCTGAATAATAAACAAGTCTTCAGCTGCTTTGTTAAAAAAATTGCTGTACAGCTGGAGCAATTTGTTTCCCACACTACTGGTGGAAGTATGACTCAGACTTTTGAGATTTGATGTCTGAAGTGCTGCTGTCCACAGCATTGTCTCCAATCAAAATACTTGTTTTTTTCCTCTTTGGTGTAGTCATAAGGACTTCTGTGCAAACATGTTTATAAATAGAATAAGCTGGTTCTATATTGCAGATTTACTGTATGACAGAATATTAGATTCTGATATGGTGATAGGGGGATTTTCCAAAAGCTGGATTTTTTGCTCATGGGGATTATAGCTATTGTTTTGTGGGCTAAATGAAGTTTAAAATGTGAGTTTCTTTCTAGAACTGAGAACTGGCATGTGTCTGCTGAGTACTTCCCAGCAGTTTTCATTCTTGACTGGCATAAAACCCCAAAAGTAAGTAATGTTTGCTTAGTTTACAGCCATAAGGTGAAAATGAGTTAGCACTTGAATGATAGGGGGAAGAATGGAAGGCTGATGTTATTGACTTAGTCTGATTGGAAGGTGGCAGTTGCAGTACTGTGCTGTAAATTATTAAACACTATTTCCTGCTCAAGTTAGCAACTAACTAGGATTTAACAGGATTTTGCCTGGACTGTTGCCCACACATTCAAGGAAATAGGTGTGGCATTGACAAAAGGAAGTTTTATATGCAATCCATAAAGACCAAGGCAGACTTACTTTTTTCCCTGTTGTGGTTCAAAGAGACTTTTTTTAATGTGGAAAGTAATTTTTCTTACTTCAGCTAATCACAGTTGTTATTGTCCTAATGTTCAAAACATGTAACACTTTTATGTTTTACTGTCACATAAGTGATCCTGGCATTTAGGAGTTTGATTTTACGGACCCACCCCCCCAGTTTGCTCCCACTCTTACCCCCCTTCCCCCCAGATAAATAGAACCAAAACCAACAAAGCCCCACAAAAAACTGTAAGGACATAAAATTATAAATTGCTCTATCATACTGAGTTTTCTAGTCCACTGACAGTTTCTGGTAATGGCCAATGCTGTATTGTCCTGAAGGTGATAATCCTGGAACAACCTGACTACACTGTCCACACAAAACTAAAGCAAAACTTGGAATTTCCAGTGAAACATTAATTTCCTTTTCCCAATAAATCAGTGAAAACAAATGAATTTCTTATTTACCTATCCTATGAGAAAGGAGAGGGAGAGATGTTAAACGAGCCCACATACAAAACAGTTGTTACTGTTTTTTGAGTTTCTTTTTGCTTGAGCATGACGTTTTTTTCCTTGAGGTTTCACGGTGGTGTTCACAAAACAGCTGTTCATATAGAATGGTGTAGAAATACTTAGCAACAGCTGAATGAAGTGTGACTCTAAAGGGTCATTCAAAGACAAATCTACTACTCTGCTGGGTGCTGTTCCACTCAGATTTATTGAACGCTGCACTCATGTAATGAGCTGGCTCTTATTACTGTAGCCTTGGGAGGAAAGGCACCAATAATGTTGTCAGTGTTTCAGGGTGACTTGGGCAGACAGAGTGGATGCTGTTACTTCTTTTTGTTTATGTGGACATAAACACACACATCAATACTAGAGCAGAAACTTTGGGAAACAGGGGGGTTGATTTTCTGGGACCATTGAAGAACCCTGAAGTTTCCCAGGACAAGGATAATAGGGGAACTGACAGTGAAGCCTGAGAAATATCTTCCTAAGTCTGGACTAGATTGGACTAGACTTCTGAAGAGTCAGTGGATCTCTTTTTTGTATTCTTAAGAACTCTTCTGCATCAGACTTGATAAATGTTGAATATGAATCTGAGTTATCCTGACATCTGGCTCACAGGAATAATTTCACTTAGCTGTGATTTGATTCAGTTTTCAGGTGTTTTGGGGAATGTGTGTATATGAAATGGTAGATGGAGATTGATGAAAGAATAGGCGAAACCTGTTCCTATGTTGACTACCACTTCAGAATGAGAGGGAAAACAAAGTGAAGGAGTGGAAGAAGGCCACTCCAACATGAAAGCAATCGAGAAGATAGGTAGAAAAGTGACACAATACAACGGTTTCACATTGCTTTCATGGAGTTGATTTATGCTGAATGATTAATGCTTTCATAGATCATCTTTGCATGCCTGAATTCTGGTGTATTGATTCCTGAGTGAGAGGGTAATTGATAGTGAGCTGTGATGTTGTATTCTTCCTTCAAGAGATAAATGCAGTAAGTGTGACTGTGACTCCAGTCATGAGATGAAATTAGAATAAAGTGACAACTAATTTTATTGTCTATAAATTCCTTTAAGTTCTTCCTCTTTTAATTTGTGCAGTAATGTATTCCCCCGCTCCCCTATACTGGAAAATCTGGGTAAAAATGAATGATTGTTGTTTGCAGTAGGAAATGTCTAAAGCAGCTAAAAGGTTTTGTTCAACTGTGACACTGTCACAACTGTGACACACAAAAAGTAGCTCTTGTTACAAGTGCTTTAATAGGTGTTGCTTATAGTGGTAATACAGGTCCTTTGTAATTAAAACACTGGGTTTTTTTCTGCTTCTTTCAGGCGATGCTGATGAGTAACATTACAGTAAATGATAGATTGATTCAGAGTCTACGAGGTATGTTGTCGTACCCCTGTGATTCTCTCTCATAGTGATTTTTAGGCCCTCTGTTTTTAAGACTTGTGTTTTCTTTTGAGAATGCTGCCTTTCTTCAAGTCATGGGGGTGGTAGAGGGGCTGCCATGACTTAGATACTTCATCTGCATAGCTCCAGTTAAGTGACAGTCTAGTCTGCCTCAACAGTAGAAGGATTTATCCAGGTAGTGCTTGATGTGGTACTCCTGACTCTTATGATATAATATAATAGAACTAAGTTAATACATTTTTTCTTCATTTTAAATGGCAACATATTCTTGCATTCTTCCCTGAGGCGTGGGGTCATGCATTTTAGCACCAGAGGAATTCACAAATCCTGTAATAAATAAAAAGAGTCAGTCTAATTAATTTCTATTCATGGTAGTGCTTCAAAAGTGTTCTTAGCAATGTATTCTGGAGGTACTTGGGAATGAATCCTATAAAGAAGTAAATATGTCGTAGTATTGTCTTCTGATGCCATCTCACAGAGGTTTCTGTCAGGAAGAAAACTCTAAATCATAGATGCCCATTTTGCTAAGGAACATGAGTATAAATTGCATATTATTCAGGGAAGCATTGCAAGCTTGTCTATATATGACTGACTAATGTGAATGCTGTTTCATATTGTGTTCTGATTATGATTTCACAGATGTAAATATTTTCTAGACTGCAACTTAGCAGGGTTTGCAAATCAGTTCTGTGTATTCCTTAAGAGGAAAAGTAGGTAAAAATATGTATTATACTGTTTTGCCAATATATTATGCTGTAAGGTTATTCTTACCAGATCCCATGCACCCTTGTTGAATAAATTCAACAGTTATCTATCCATTTGTGTATGAAATGCAGTTTGCATGACAGATGAATTAATTTAACATTGTTGTTACAGATTTGTTTCCTGATGTTTCTGGCTTAGAATCTGTACATATATGTGTATTTTAATGTGTATTTTAATCCTGGTTTGACCAGAACACTTGAAAGAGTTACAGACGGAGTATGGAAAGCTACAGCAGGATGTTTATTGGTTTCAGAAGAACCAGACTAACCTTCAAAGGAAGTTCTCATATGACCTGTAAGTATGTTCTTTAGGAAAGATGACTTCCCAAATTATAGGTGACTTGGTTATAACCCAGAGCACTCTTGTGTTATCCATAGCTCTGTTAGTAAATACGTGTTTTTAGAGAGAAGGTAACATCTGACTCATCTGAAATTGCTCACAGTTGGTCTTTGAGAAGAGCATTAACTTTCCAGTATTACTCATCTCTGTGCCCAGATACTTCTTGATGTTCCTCCTATTGCAAGAGGATATAGGTAGTAATATTATCACTTAAGAATTGTGTGGGAAAATTGAAACACTAAGAGGTTAAATTGTGAAGAAGTTTAAATTAAGATAGGGGAATACCTGATGAGAAGCTATACCTTATTGAGCTGACAGAGGTCTTGGGAATTTCTGGTACCATCAGACTCATGTGTTTTGCTTTACATGACATACCTAGTCATGGCTTTTTCTTGAGATTTCCCACTGAATTTTAAAGCATGGATAACTGAATAAAAGTACTTATCAGTATCCTTACACTAAACACACATTTCTGGTATTTCTAGGAATTTCTCCTCCATTCTTTCTGCTCAGTAATATTCTTGTTTCTTTTACCTGCTTTCACAATCTGTAGTATCTTCCCCCTTGTGCATAGATATAAAAATGCAATAGAATTTGCTGTTTGCATGTTCTCATAATGATATTCCATCAAGAATGTAATTGTTGTAGTGATAGGTCATTTTTCAGCAGCCATTGTTTAGCCAGGTTTTGTTGGAATTATAACTGAAAGTGGAACACAACACTCAAAGAACTTGAATTCTGCAGGCTACACTTGAAGTAAATATTTTCTTATTTTTATTTTTCCCTCCACGTTAGAATTAAAGATTAATGTTAGTGCTTCTGTGATACTTACTGATTACCAGTTGGTTGTCACCTTTTTTTTGATTATTACTCATGTAATAAACATTACCTAAATGGATTATATTAGTGGATAATTTAAGACTTCTAACAGAAATGTAGAAGGAAGTTGGTAACTTTAGTTTGTACCTGCCTTTCAATAAGCTGTGTTGCTTATGTGTGTGTTAAGGGGCCTCCGTGTTCCCCCTCTGTGTTTTTTGTATACCATGGTTGTTAAGCACTGTTGGCTGTTTAGTTAAATGACACACCTGAGACCCATGGACCTCTGTTGATAGTTCTGTGCTAGTCAGTGAATCTGTTTTCCAGTGTCGTCTTCTAAGTCTGAGATCAGCAGGAACTAATAGATCTGTATATAGCACAAATATATCTATCTGCTGGACAGTCATGCTCCACATGAGAGGTACACCTGTTAAGCACTGGACTGATATGCATGTGCAGGGAAGTGATACATGGCAAATTTAGTTAGTCTGGCTTAGGAAAACTTGGAGGTTTATCACCCATGTCTGGCAAAGTGTTTACAAGCATGGCTGTGTTGCGGAAATCACTGACAGAGCACCCCTGCTTGTGGTAGTGTACCATAAAGAATCCCTCTTTGTTTAACAGAGGAAGGTATTCAGACAGCATAGCTCCAAGATGTGGGCTGGCTCAAGGTGAAGAGCTAAGCATGATACAATGGTAAAGATAGGCTTGCTTTTATGAGGGTAAGTGTAGAGACAGGTGTGGTAAATCAGCCATGTGGTAGTTGAACAGTGACTCAGCTAGCTGAGCTGCTTCTGGTTGGTCTTGAGTCAGGTGAACCATTCCCTGCAGAGCCTTCATGGGAGTCTGTAAAGGCAGTTATCTCAGACAAGGAGCAATGCTGTCTTCACTAACTTTGCTGCAAAATACTTAAATGTTCATATTCTATTTCTAGACTTTTTTTCCTAAGAGTGCAAGTGAGGAAAACAAACTTTGGACTCAAATTTTCATAAAAGAATATATAGCTTCAGTACTGTGCAGTATTCACACAGTTCTAGGAGGAACATGTATTTTTAAAACATTGCTTGTTGTGTACCTTTAGGGAGGATGTTGGAATGTTAATATTTCTCTGCTAAACTAATTTACACAACTAACTTTACATTGTGTTTAGGTAATTGAAGAAATGGATATTTGATGGTGCATGGCTATATATGTTCCTCTTTGCTATATGCTCACTTAATACTGTCACTTTAAATGCTTACAAACAGCCTTTTCCCAATGTGATTGTGAGCTTAGAAAAATAAGAATTATTGGAAAGACTCCATATGTTATTTTTAATGTCTTCCTTCCTTCCCTCCCAATTAGGAATAAACTGCTGTGTTGCCTCTGTGTTCATCTGCCTTTCCAGGAAGGGGCATTAGAGCTGATTATGTGCTTCTTTATTTTACCTGGATTTGCATGGATGAAGGTTTTGCACCTTAGGTAGCAAGTACACTATGCCCAGTGCAAAAATAGATCATATTATTCATATAAAAATAATGAAAATGTTATAAAAAGATGACAGAAGTCAAATGTCTTTTTCAAACAGCAGATTCTAAATCACTCTTTTTAAACATTCAGTTGCTGTTTTGTAAAAGACAGTGGTAAAAGCGGTTGTGCATATGAAATGCATAAGAACAAAATCTGTGAACTTCTTAGAAGAAGAAAGAAAATCATTGTTCCTTCTTGCACCCGAGTCTTGAAGTTTCATCTTAGCAGTTTTTCGAACGAGCTTCGTGTTTTCCACGCAGAAGTCAGCAGGAGCTATCTGGCCTTACTGGGGTTGTGTGCAAAAGGAGCACGCATTCTTCAGCAGTCAACTTCACAACGTACCCTTGGTATACACTGTGCCCTGTGCTGTCTGGTCATAGTTAGAGCTTCTTCAGCAAAGGCTCACTGGCATACTGATCCTTCTCTCTTGCAGCAGCCAGAGTGAAATAGAAGCTTCTGGACTCATATTTTGAAATTGTTATTGAATACATTCCAAGATTCAAATGCATTTTTTGTTCCTAAGAGCTTTGTTTGTTACATAACTGCATCTTTAGAAATCTCACTGTGTGTAAAAAGTCTGATAATTAGTGTGATATTTGCAGACCTGACAAGTGCAAGAGTGTAAGTGCAGGAGTAATCTCTTTTGGTAGGGTTGTAAAGAAGAGATGATAGATGCTCCTGGAGAATAAAGGTGCTCTGTTTCTCATGCTGGGCATAGGCAAATCCAGCAGCCCAGCGGGGAGAGGCTGCACGTGTGTTCTGTGCATGCAGACCACATCTGTACATGGCCAGGTATGCCGAACACAGAACACATAAAGCATGAGCACACACAACACTCTCCTGAGAGTGAGTGTCTGCTAGTGCAAAACATGCTGTGGGATTGGTCTAGATGGGCTGTCTCTCCTTGTAGTTTGTAGTTTGGGCTCTTCTCCACCTTTGTGCCTCCGTGCTCCTTTAGACTCTTGGGAGCCCCCTTGGGTGGGCTGGTGGCTCCCTTGATGGGCCTGGGAGCAGCTGAGGAGGGTATTATTTGGGCTCCTTTGTGTGTACACAGGTGAGCTCTGTGTCATTGAATTAACTATGTTGTGAAGAGGAACACATGCCACAGAGACTGAATTTAAGAACATTAGTTTTGCACATTTGAAATGTCATGGTGATGGGATGAGGTGGAGAATCTAAGGCTGTCACTTACTCTAGAAGTTGTTGTAAGCATGAGGAGAGTATTCAAATCTTTAAAAGAAGGTAATTCTGTTACAGATAATAAGCTTAAAATGGTGAGGGTTTGTAACAGAAGTTAAATGAACTTCATTTTCATGTGCATTGTGGGCTCGAAGTGCAAGCTTTCTCAAATGCTCTGTCTCTGACTTCAGGTTGTCTGTGTACTGCATCTTTTTCAAACTTGAAAACTGTTACACAATTAATATGGCCTTTTACTTCTTAGAAAATAGTGATGTGAGTATAACTCAAGTTTATGCTATTTTACTGTCTTTGATATTCACCAGTCTAAAGCACATCTTATTTTGGTGACTCTTCTGTGTATTAGTACTGTCAAATCAGACTTTAGAATAATGTCTGGTCTACAAGAAAACATAATAAAGGTAATGCTGTTCTTCATTTCTAGGTGTGAACTACAGAAGGGATTTTTTGCTTTTGAAAGGCAGGGTTGGAGAAAGAGAAGGGTGAAAGTGCAATAAAAATGAGTCACTTGCTGTCATAGAGTGTGTGTAGCCTGGAAACTCCTTTGGATTACATAGTAGTTTATTTTCAGTTTGAGAAACTGCAACATGCCTGTCTGAAACAGCTGCTGTTGTGCAGAGGGTATTGACACTTGGAATAACACTGGTCAGAGCCAGAATAAGGAGAAATTCACCACCCTTCTTAGTCTTAGTGATGGGGATGAGAAACTTGCAGTATGTTGACCATGCTGTTGTACAAAGGTTGCTGGAAAAGATTTTGAATGCAGAAAGATGTGTTTGCAAGGTCTGTAGCTGATTGTATATGTAAAAACTGGAAGTACCTTTGACTGGACGATCAAAGGGGAGAGAGAAAGGAGAAAAGGTTTAAAAATCCCATCAAACTTCTTTCCTGCTAGAAAATGTGGTCCCCAGCCAAAAGCTTGCTCTTCCTTGGGCAGGCTCTCCAGGGCTGTGGATACTGACATTGATAGTGATTTTTCACCATATTTTCCCCTAGTGTGACACATTTGTTATTGGGGCCCACTCAAGCAAAGTGCTGTTCCTGTTCATAGTGGGGTCAGAGCATACTTGGGGTCATATGATGACTAGTTTCTAAGATTTGTCTGTATATATTATGGGGTAATGCTTGTCTTGGTTTGTTATTCACTAGGTCTTGTTCTTCCTCTGATATAAACTGAAAGCTATAAAACAGCTAATGAAGCGAGTGGGAGAGAAAGGATTATCTTGCTCTGACTGCAGCCGCTTGCCTTGAGAAACAGATTGACAAAACTCCTGGGCTTTGCACAGGATCCCCAGCACATCCACAGAAGGGGAGAACACTGCCCTGGCAGCTTTGGGAAAAACACTGCTGCAAACAGCAGACCTTACCTAGCAGTTAGGGAGCTGTGAGGGCAAGTCAGGCTGCATGGATACAGATAGAAGACTGCTGTCACAAAGGTTGAGATCTATTAAAAGTATGTAAAATATATTCCTTCTGGAATTTACAGTAGCTACTAGTGAACTCCATTTCTGTAACATGTTTTGTTACATCTTGCAGCACTGCACTTTGCTGAACAGTAGATTACATCTGTTTCCTATTTCAACTGCTACTTTTCTGTTTTGTCTTTCTGGCTAAAACCAAAATACGAATTTCTGTAATCGTACTAGAAATGCTTCAAGGATCAAAATTGATTTTAACTTACCTGGACTTGAGTGGTTAGCAAAGACACAATGGAAAAATCATGTAGCTTGTTGAGCTGGTCAGACAAAAGTATTTTAAATTAATTTCTTCCAATAGAACTTGTCTGCACTATGAATTTGTCCTTAGGACTTAGGTCAACGCCTCATATTTTCCTAGTGACTTCTCAAATATAAAACTGGGTAGTAGAATTAAGGCAATAATAAAACATAAAGAAAAAAATAGATATATCAAGAAAAAAAATCAGATAATTTTACAAAATTACATTATAGAAGAGTCTAGTTGAGACTTAATCATCTTGTTTGTGTTTTTTTCAGCTCACAGTGCATTAACCAGATGAAAGAATTAAAAGAACAATGTGAAGAAAGGATAGATGAGCTTAGAAAAAAGAGTAGCGATGTACCACAAATCAAAGAAAACAAAGACGTCACAGAAGATAGCCAGGTATGATTTGGATAATTTCTTGAAAATACTTTTTTTTGTAATTCTTAAGTATTTCTTCACCTTTCTGCTATCTCCTATTAGCATTACCCCATCTCATGAAATTTTTCACTACTTCAGCATTTGTTTAATGTTTCTAATCTGTGGGAAATGGGGTAATTTCAAGGACAGAACAAGGAGACGTCCTGCAGGAGATTCCAAATCACTGTGTCTCTGAGATGGGCAGAATTTGAGAGATGATGCCAGAAGCGATGTGTGTTCCATTAAGGAATATTTACACAACTGAACTTAAGTTAAAAATAACTTTTGACTTTGTTGAAGTACTTAGTTGCTTTGTGTGTTAATGATGAGGATAAGCTGTGAATCACTTCAGAGAAGCAGCAAATCCTGAATATTGTAGTCCAAGGTTCATCACCTATGAATTTTCACAGAAGTTCTTTGTCAGCATTTTACTGCAGGAATAAAGGGATAATCAAATGTCATAGCTGTTTAATGTCAGATATTCTGAGCCAAAGAATCAGAAATTCATTGCTGAACCTCACAAGGGTAGGGCAGGCTTGGCAGATAAGTTGGCTGCGTGTCAGCTGGCTTTTTCTCCTGGGGTGCAGAGGGTGGCAGAAAATCCTGAGAAAAGGTAATTTCAGTTCATCCTGTTGTCATGGCATGTGACTTGTTGATGCTTCTTCATTGATGTGAGATTTGGTCAGGGATAGGATTTGACTGATTAAGCGTGATATGTATGGCCCTGGAAAGAGGCAGGCAAGCTCTTGTGTGAGAAGGCACCCAGTTTATTTCTGTACCAAAATAGCCCTTTCTTCAGGATCACTGAAGAAACAGGTTTCAGTAGTTAGACTTTTCACATGTGACTGCGGGGGTGCCTTTCCCTCTACCTGAGTGGCCTACTCTCATTACAGAGGCAGTGGAGGTTTAGTGGAGGTTTAGTGGAATACACCCTTTTCTCTTTGGCTAGGAAAAGGCTAAATTTGATGGCTTCAGAAGTGGAAAGGGTAAGGCAGTGAGGAATGAATTTTGGATTTACAAAGAAGTGAAAAATCGTGTGAGAAAACAGCTAAAATGTCTGCCCAGAGATTCCCATAGGTAATGGTTTCAGTCCTCTTTCTAAAATGGGGGAGACAGAACTACTGAAGTGTAGTACTGAAGTGACCTTTTATCCTGGGAACCTGCGCTATGTGAGAGCTGCAACATGAATGAAGCATTAGAAACAGGAAGTGCTACCCAGTTATGCCTTAAAATAAAAGTTACAGCTCTTGTCAATAGTTTTTATAAACAGTATCAAATAAGTGGATAAAAAGTAAATAATAAATACATCATTGTAAGTAAATAGAACCTGCATAATTTGGAGATGATACGTTAGTAAAATATATCTTATTTAAGAAAGTTGACTTAGGGAAGACCCTAATAAAGAGGTGGTCAACTTAATTTTTAGTGTGGCTTTGCAACAGGTTTTAATGACAATTACTTGAACTAGATTCCTTTTCTTTGTTTATTTGTATATGTGTTTGTTTGTTGCATTTTTGGGGGTTTTTTACCACTTTCAGTTTGGAAGATAAATTATCTGAGAAGGAACTTGAGGAGTTTTACTGAAACCCCTGTGCAGTACAATTTCAGTCTCCTGAACAAAATTGTGTAGTTGGAGGCAATTTTTACTCAAAGCAGATTATCTGTAAGGCAGGGCAGGTTATCTCCTATCCTTTTTATATATAAATGGGATGGTCTCAAATGAGCTAACGGATAATATAGCCACTGCTTAAATAATTTCTGTCTGTTTGTGTTCCCTAGTATCTGTGGCAGTGTTTCTTTGGCCAAGCTGTAACTTTCTCAGTTGTTTGCTTGCCCAAGAATTTCAACCTTTTGCTTTTATAAAAGCATACACAGTTATAGTTAGTGCAAGATGACTCTGACAAATCTATGTATGTTTTTGTCCAGTGTTTTAAGCTGGAGTAATTCCTATTTTTAAGATGTATGTGCTTATGTAATAGAAAAATCTGTCTTAAAACAGAAAGAAAATGGAGTGTTAGTTGGTTAATAACTAAACAGCTTTATTTAGAGCTTTGTAATTTGAAGAATAATGTATACTTCTTGGCTGAAGAAAATACAGCATGTTCAATTACTATCTTTTTATCCAACTACTTAAATTTTTAAAAAATCAGCATATACCTTTTGAATCTATTTGACATTAAGAATTACTTAGCTAGAAATTTAAGGTAAGTAAAAGGATTTTGCATGTGTAATTAATAGGTAACTTCTTGCTGTTAAGTCCAGGCTCAGTATTTTTGCAGAAGAATTCATGCCCAACAAAAAGCGAAAAAAGGTCTTATGTTCAGTTTCTGATGACTTCTACTATAGAGAGTGATCTTAAGGAGCTAAAATATTTACAGAACAGAACCATGTTTAAATACAGCATTTTTGTTTTACTGATTGAAGGAAGATGGAGTTCTTCTGAATATCTTTACTGCACTAACCAAATATTCTGCAGTAACATTTGCTTATCAAGCATTAATGATAGATTAGTTGCTGATACTGGGCTTCATGGTGTTGACACAAAAAGATCTTGTTCTGCCTGGCTTTAGTGGAAATAAAACGCTTTTCAAAACAGCCAAGTAGTCATGCTGCAACTCTGGCTTATTGGTGACTTACCTACTTCTGTCTGTGGTCATTTTTCCAAATGACTGAATGAACATTTGACAACATAGTGTTTTACTGCCCTCCTTAGATAAATGAGAAGCTACAGTCTTGACAGTACCAATGATAATTGGTAACAGAAAACAATACTGTCAACTGTGAGACTTCCTGTACCATAAGATTGCCCAGTCATTCGTATGATACCAGACACAAAGAGGTTTGTATTTCTGAATGTGCATATGCTTGTTCTTTCTCTGCATATTTGGCTTTTTTTTTGAAACAAAAACCAAAAATGCAACCAAAAAATCCCCATAGAACAAATGGGTTTCCTCTCAAGTCTTTCTCTTCGCTCATTCTCAGAAATTCATGCACAAACAGCTCAGCTCTGCTCTTTCCCCACTGGCCCTGGCTTTACACCCTCATTTAGTGTTTCTAAGATGACAGTGGGGAAAGAATAACTCCATATATCACGGCAAGCAGGGTCTTGACTGCATGAGCAATGACCATGAACAGAAGAGCCTGAGTGCTTCAAGGGGTACCATATGAACCACTGGGCTACATTAGGGGAAGCATGGCCGTCCCATCTTTTCAAGCCTCTTCTACCTTCACTCAACTCCAGAAACACGGAGGACATAGCCAGAGAATCACCATTCTCTACAGGCAGCTCCAGATTCCCCTCCTTGAGTATGGGTGTTCTTAATTTCACCTGTGTGAAAGCCCCTGGGTACATCCCTCAGTTCACTGACCATCTTTCATTTTCACCTGGAATTAATGGTGAATCATAAGTTGAGTCCTGTGTCTCTAGGTATAGTGCAAACCTACTCTCCCAAATACTTAATTCATGTAGTCTGGGAGTAATTTATGGATAGGTGGTGACATGGCATTCCTGAGCTCCCTGTTCCACATGCAATAGATAAGGGGATTCACTGACAGGGACGGCACCAAGCTCAGGACTGCCAGCCACTAGATCCAGAGATAGGGAGGAGATGGAAGCAGGTTTCAGGCAGGCAAACATGCCAACTCTGACATACAGGGAGACCATGCCCATGTAAGGGAGCCAATGCCAAGGTAAGTAAAGTCATACATAAAATTTTAATTGCCCAGTTGGAAGATCCTCAAGATGGTGTGTATCTTAGGCTTAATATCTAAGAGGGTCAGATACTTATAGCAGTCTAGCACTAGAATTTAGTACATTCTTAAGCAAGCTCCATCATGTTAAACAAGTATTATTTTCTAGTTGGTTAATTTGCACTTTTCTTAATCCTGCATTTAATATAGTTACAGACCAGTTCTATACAAGCCTTACTCAGCTGATGTCTAATAATGACCAAATTCAGTTTTCTTGCCCTGTAGACTATTAATAGTAAATGGTATCTGTTTATTTGCTCTGCTGACCCTGCAGAACAACAGTGGATAAATGTGGTGTTACAGTTCTGTAACACTCTGAGAATAACCAAGGACAGTAATCTGATCATTAGCTGCAGTTAAATAAGTTATGTTAAAATTCTCCTGATGCTGTTATATAGAAACATTACTGCATATTCAGAATTGTACAGTACATCTGTTATTTCAGTCCAAATATTTCCGTGTGTGTTGGGATTTTTTTCGCCATGCAAAATTCTTACCTAAATTCTACTTCCCTTTCCAAATCCAGGTGCAGTTATATAGACCAGTGCTTATCTGCTGCATTCACTTTACAGGTTGATACTCAACTGCCAGCCTTGAAGCAAACAGGGTTCAAGCAGGCTGACTTGGAACAGCAGAAAACAAATGAAGATGTTCCTAAAGCAGTACCTACAGTAAAAAAGACAGACCTGATGCAGGCTAAAGGTGAGATGGAAATCCTTGTCTGACTAACAACTGGTTAAGAACGGTTGTTTTTCAACTGAACATTTAGGAACATTTTTGTACACCAGATAAGGATGAAAAAGTGACACCAACAGTCTGAACATCAGTCAGGTTTCCAGCTGAAGGAAAACTTACTCAGATTTGTTGGTGCTGTTTTGTTGTAGTAGGTATGTTGCACACAGCAGAAAATAGAAATATTTACAATTCTAGAGTCATCTTCCTCATTTAATATGGAGAAAATACCCAACTTTTGGAAGGAATAATTTTCAAGCATACTTAAAATTTGCTTTCTTAGTAAGTTTGACATAGTCAGCCTGGTACCCCTCCTCCCTGTGGAATAGGTGAAAGTTAGGCTTACAACAAAACACATCCATACTTCCCATGTGTTGTCATTGAGCAAAATGCAAGTGTGATAAATGATACACATGGGTTTAGGTTAGTTAGCCTAATGGTTCCTTTTGGCACTAAACTTCAGAAACTATTAATTTGAATGGATGTATCCTTGTATGTCTGTTTTGCATAGTAGTGTGTGTGACAGAAATTCAATTCTTAAATTTATTTACTCTTACATGCTATCTTAAATTACAATCTTGTGAGCATGCAACTCTCATTTTAGAGAGCTAGCAGCTGAAGACAGCATCTACATATAGTTTAGTTGAGAAATTTTGTGCATTTTTAAAATTAAAAATGCAGATACGTGTGAAAAGATATATGTTAATGTCAACTAAAAATTATAGTACTCCTTCACTTGAACAAGAACCGGCTTGGATACTTGCAAATCTGCCTATGTGATGCTTTGTCCTGAGCTACTTTTGAACCCCAAATCAATTTTATTGTTGATAATGACTTGTAACACACAGAAACCTAATGCTTATATAGGTCACCACAATTTCTATTTAAACTTCTCTGTTTCACTTGCCCAATTTATTAACCACACATAGCAATATTTTAAGGATATAGAAGCATGAATCTGTTGACAGTAAATAAAATTCCCTTATTTAGCTGTTCCCAGTAGGAAAAACACAAGTTGTCTTATCTTTGGTACTTATCTTTGGTATTGGAAGATATTCTTTCAGAGGAAAACCAATAATTTAGTGAGAAATATAAAGCATGCTTTATTAAAGGTTTTTAACTTGTGCCACACTGGAAAGAATTTTTTTTTTAAACTCAGAATCATTTTTGTTGTTTTCAGAAAGAACAGACAGCCTAACTGACATGAGAAAACAGAAGCCTAAGGCAGAAGAGGAGCAGCTTTCTAGTCACTTGGAAAAACCTCAAGAGTCGCTCAAGGCTGCTGCAGGCCACAAGGAGATGCTGCCTATGTCAGAGAAGGACCCAAATCCACCTGAGGATGAGAAAAATGTAGCTGGGCAAGATATGTCAGAGCCAGCAGCACAGCAGGCTGCCAGTGAGGAAGTTGAGAGGGAACAGTTCCTAAATTACGATGATAAGCAGGATGACTTGCTCCCTGGAAAGGCTGGTTTGTAGCATGTCATGTGTTGTTAAAAACAGTAACAAAATGAAAAGTAAAGGAATGAAAGTGTGGAATAGGGTACAACAGTGGTGGAAGCTGGCCAGACTTAGTACAAGATTTCATAAAGGCCAATGTGATATGGAAGGTGTCAGTCCCGAGCAGTCACCTACAATCCATGAGTTAAAGATGGAAGCTTCTGACTGTGCAACATGAAGCTGCCAAGCTGAATTCGTCTGCATCACCCTAACAGCCCTACTGTCTCTCCAGTGGCTCTACAAAGTGTTTAGGGAAATTCACCCCAAAACTTTTTGGTATTGTGGCTTTAAAAGAATGTGATGCATCTGAAAAGAATGAGATATTAATCATCCAAAGCATTGATGAGTAGAGCACTTACGTGTGGATGTTTTGCAGTTAGTCTTTTTACAGTGTCAGTGTGTGAATACTAGCTATTCGTATTTCAAAATAAGCTACCATGAGTCAAACTGGTAGCTCAGACTTCAGATATCTGTAGTTTACTGTTGTGAGTCTTCAAAAACATGGATCAGATATTGTAAAGGTGCCAGTTTCTGGCATCTATCAAGTGACCCTGAGCTACACATCTCAACAGCACCAAGCAGAAGAGTATTGATACTGTGGCTAAACCTGACCAATGTCTAGACATTCCTCTGTCTTGAGGGATTTGGTGTCAGTAGCCCAAAGTAATCAAAAGGCAGCCTTATGGCAGTCAGAGCAGGAATTGATGCCCACAAAAAATGCTGTTTATGCTTTTCTAGTAAACACATCCTTAGAATTTTAAATTTCAGTGTTAATATTGTTGCTAACTTGGCAGAGATAAATAATCTCATCTGCATTGCTAAAGCAGTATTTTTCCAACTGGTCCAAAAAGATACTGGCCAGATCAGGCTATACCCCAAAGAGATGTAATTACAAGTTACCTAAACTGTTTTTAATTTTCATGGAAGTAAATAGCAGAAATATTAGATTTTAAAAAAATCATCCAACAATTAGTGCAAGGAAAAATCTGCAGCCCATGAAAACTCAGTTTCAAAGGCCTGCATTTCTGTGAGATAAAAAGGCTAGGAGGATGTTCTTCAGGCTTTACTATTGAACCTTACTGCACAGGTTCCTTGTAGCCAAAGGAGCTTAAGGTAGAAAGACTTCTTCAGTAGTCCACAGCATCCTCTTTCAAGAAGAGCTGCTTCTGAAATTTTTAGACGTTTAGGTCCATAACAATAAAAATCTATTGGATGTGGTGGTCTGAACATGAATGACATAAGGCTTGAAATTTTCAAGCCTCTTTCTTAGCCACTTACTAACTGGAAGGTTTGTCTTAACATTTAGAAGAGAGGCTGTGATCCATCTTAAGTGAGGTTTACACCTCTCTGCTGTTACCTTTTTTTCTGGTTGATTATTTGAAAAATAAGGACAGTAGTTTGGCAATCAGAAATGTTTCCATTTATGTCTGAGTCCTCTGTCTAAAGAAATGTGATAGTCAATAAATGTTGCTTGAGAGGAGTTAATGGTTGGGTGAAGGAAATCTTCTGGGAGAAAAGTACTTTTGTGACAGCTTGGCACATCATGTAACACTTTATGCTATAGTTGTAGCATTCTGCTATATGGACAAGCTAAAACAAGAAGAGGTTTTCAGCAATTACTTCAGGTTTTGCCCTTCCTTAGGCTGTCATTCCGTGTATTCTGAAATTGTGCAATGCCTCCGCTTTATATTCATCAGAGTGCTAGCTGATTTTGCTATGCTTTCCAAATCCCAAAAGATTATCTTTTATCTACTTTGGCAGGATTTACAGCCAAAGTTGCTCTGAAAATTAACACTTCAAAGAAAAAATAATATAAAAACCTACTCAGAAGAGCAATTCATTCAGCAGCAACGTAATTCTGTGGAAGATGTTTGCAGTCACTCTTCTTGTGTGCAGATGGTATAGCATAAAATGACTTAATTTTAATCTTCCAGACAAACAGGAGCATGAAGCAGTGAACCAGGACAAGGATGTCGATTACAATTTAGATGTGAACGAAGCTGAATCAGAAACTGACAAGCAAGCAGCACTTGCTGGGAGTGAAAATGGTAAAAAAGAAAAAAACCCAGTTTTAACCTAAATATGCTTAAAATGTTAAGATCATATTTTGCATGGTATCCTGGAGTAAGTGATACCTAGCTAATTTGTTTGTTTTTTGAACTTTCCTCCATGTTTACAGTGTGACCTATTTTCTCTTTAGCACCATTGAACCTACTCGTTAATTGGTATCTATAACTTTACTGTACTACATAGTATTTAACAGTTTTTACAAAATTTCTTGTTTTCTAGATAGAACTTTCTATATGAAGAACTACTGCCTCTTAAGAGATTTCTGTACCTTTTCCTTTTTTTCCCCTCATTAGTTCAAAACCATGAAGATACAAAGAACCGCTTACCTGACGATGGTGAAGGACGACAGAAGTTGTGAACAAAGGAAGTTCATGATACAACTGAATCACCTCTTCCTCCAAATGCAGCAATGATCCAAGTAAAGTGATCTTAGAAGGTTTTGATTGTCTTCTAAAGGCTTGACTAAGGGCCCAAACGAAGTAGTATTTTCTTGTGAAGTTTTAGTACTGTTGCAGTGAGGAAAAGAAGTAAATCTCTGGAGGCTTGTTTCAAAGCAGTTGGCCTCTGCAATGACTTTCTCCTTCCTATCAATTATAAAATTGCAATCAGGTAGCAATAAAGTTAGTAGCTTTGAAGTTGGCTACCTTGTACAGTCATACTTCAGTAAGCCTATGTGTGGATTGGTGGCAGATGATGAGCAGTCCTCTGACAAGGATGGATCTCTCTGCTGGGCAATGCACAGTAGAGAAATCCCCAGCTTAGTTTTAAGAATTTAAGGGGCTGTGTTATTGTAACAAAACATGGGAAGGATGAAAACTAGTCCATGCTGCAGTCTACCCTTGTGCCTGTTCTGGCACTTTTTTACTGCAACACAGACTGAGAAAGCACAATTGCAGTCTTCAGATACTATGCAGAATGATACATGTACCTGGGCCTCTAAATTAAATTCCTACAATACACTGTTGAGATGTGTTCTTAGCTTCAAAGTTAAAAAAAAAAAAAACAACCAAAAAGGATTCTGACAATAGAAGCTTCTTGCTAAGAGACTAGCCAGGAAGATTTTTCTGAAAGCTTTGTTGGATTCCACAAGGTCAGTACTACAGTTTGGCTTGGTTACCACTACTGGGCACAAGTGTAGTGTAAAAATTCGAACTCATAAACTTTTCAGGACAGAAGCCCTCTGAAATGGTGTGCTGCAACTACCCTTTACTCCACCCAGACACTGTCTTTTGTGAAAACAGAAGAATGCAAATGCTTGCTTTGTACAACAGCGATCTCAGCTGTTCAGTGTGACTAATCTTCTCTTCTGGACTTAAGGAGGTAACCAGATTATGCATTTAGAAGACAAGGCAGTGTCTACCACAGGTGAAGTTTTAGTTGTTGTGAAGTTGTACATTAATCACAATGTATCATCTTGTTAATGTTCTGCAGTTTTTTCTGTAACTTGTTAAATGTAAACTAAAAACTATTTTACTTGCTGTGAGCTACAAAATGCCCTCTACTTACCACAAAGGCACCCTTAACTGCAGTCCAACCACCATGTATAACCAGCTGGTTTGAAGAAATTTTAATATTTGTGTCTGCTCCCAAGACTGACCCCTGTGTTTGGAACATTGTGAGTGTGAACCAGCCTCTGTCGAGACAGCACAGCAGCCAGACAGCTGTGACTAACTTGCCAACCAGCATTCCATTTAAGAAATTTTGCTTTGCTTTCCGTTAAAGCACTTCACATTGTAACTCCTTTTGTGCTGTGTCACTCTTCAGTGTACTAGTTTATAGCTCCTGTACCTTAAGATGAAGCTCGTTCTTTTGGGTATGAAAAGAGAATTAGTTGTCATCAAATGAAGGTTAGAGTTTAAGTCAAAAGATACTTGTTAAGCCTAAACACAGAAACAGTTCATTAACAGTTTTTCACCATTTAAGTAAGACCTAACTGGTCTAGTCTACTACAGTCAATATAGCAGGGAAAACATGCTTGTAAACAGGACAGAAGAGGAATGAGCATCTCTTTTGGCAAGTATTGGGAAACTCAGGTTACTGGGATTTTTTTTTTTTTTTCTTGCAAGTAATGACATGTTTGAACATCAAAGTGTTTACCCATAATTTGGATAAAAATATTTACCCATTTTCTGTGCATTTTCCTAGGACTTAATCTGTAAACAATTATGCAGCTGAGATTTAAGTTGATCAGGAATTTAATATTGATTGTTAAAAAGCATATATTCTAACAGTAAAAAATAGACAGTGAAACACTATATTCAAGTTGAATGAATAGCTTTACCAGTATCAAGTTAAAAATTCCAAAGAATCAAACACTTAAGGGTAATTAATATATTGCCAGAGGATTATTTTAAAACTAATTGTTTTGGCTGTGCTTCTGTACATTTTTGGGCTTCTCCTAGCCAGCTGGATGTTGTCCTCCATAAATATGACCACCTCTGTACAAAGCACACTTGTAAACCTCTGAGGGCAAAGGGTCTGAAAACATGCATAAGAGCAATGTTCAAAATGAAGGAATACAGTTCTATTCACGATGACTTCAAGTGCTTCAATCTAATTTGGGCAGTCGATTTCTAGTAGGCAAGAGCCTATATGTCTACTGTACAGAATTTTAGAATTAAAAGAGATTAATTTGGAACTGTGGTGTACATAGTGTTGTCTCTCACTAAAATTTTTAGTTGTGTGAGGCATTACTACTTTTCTCTAATCATCTTGGTGGTATATTAGCACTTTGGTTTGGTTTTCTTTACAACTAAACTTAATCCATTTTAGGTAAGCATTTAAAAGTAATCTTCTTTAGTGTACTGATGTTATTTTGTACAATTCATCCAGTTCTAATTGTAATGAAAAGGGGAAATATTATTATTGCTATTTTCTTGGTTCCGCAAATCACATTTGATTTGCTTTGTCTTTTACTTGCTGCTTGCTTTGGAGAAATAACCAAGGCTGTCCTTGAGCTAATGTCTTGTAGTTCAGGATCTTTAAGATGAGAAAGATTTTGTGACTATTTACAAGAAGCCAGATGAATGTTCTGTGCCATTTTACCTCTACATTTTCCAGGCTTTTTATTCCTTTGGCAGCTATATGGAAGCATTCAAATATATTAATCATGATGATAAGCAAACATGTAATGTGATATACCATCTCGTTAGCAGAGAATTTGGAAAAAAACATGTCTTCAAGACAGTACTTTTGCTTATTTCAGGAAGCTGCAAATTGCTGGAAGACAAGTGGGTGTTCCACTTCAGAGGTTACTCATTGTTTTCAAGCTCTAGCTCGGCAGTGCTGCTGCTCAGGGGATGAAGCTGAAGCGATATTAATTCACAGTAAAATCAGGTGATGGGATTAACACTAAAAAATGTTTTGTATGGCCAATATGGAGTTACAAGCTCATCCCTACAGTGGAAGTCATTGTACACCAAAATGAAGAATTGTCGTGTCCAACAAAGGATTTGCTTGTATGGCCTAGGTATTACTTGGCCAGGGCCAGGTCTGCTTTTTGAACAGTTTTTCCTTGCTTGTAGCAAAGGACAATCATTTTTTCTTTGGTTGCTCTTTTGCTACAACACAACAGCTTACCTTGGTTATTTCACATCTGAAAGCTTGGAAGGCATAACTATTCCAGGAAAGCAAGGATAGGTTTGGGGCTTTTCCTGTTTTGGAAATCTACCTGAAAATTACTACAGAAGACAACAGGATACAGCAGCCCAATTGCAGTCAAAAATGGAGAATAAAGATCATGCAAATATAGCAATCCTTTGTTTGCATGAGCAAATACTAGGATTGTAACAAAGTTGCAGAGTTGGTAAAATAGAGTCTTCAGTGTCTGGTGCTACTGCTAATGACTACTGGAGTGTCTGCTGTGCAGATGCTCCAGCACTTGGAGAACAAAGACAAAGGAACAAATTCCAAATATCCAGCTAGGAATCACTCACTCAATTGCTCAGTGACTAATTTTCGTGAGCTCTTGATCTCCATAGAGATCATTTTAGCTTGGAGGATGTAGTGAGGAAAAAACCCCAACATTTCTCTACTTGTAAAGTGAGCAATTCTGATACAATTAAACAAAAATGTAGAAACTCAGAATTTCTCCAAGTGACTTTGTAAATGCAGAATTGCAGTAGCTTAGCTGTGCACATCAAACATGAGGCTCTATTGCATGATTTTTATTCAGTTCCTAATGCACCACTTTGTCAGAACACAGTAATAAAAATTATTTATGATTAAAGTCTGTAATACTATCAAGTAAGATACAACTTATCTTTAATAATACAGTTGATTAAAATCAGTTTCACGCACAAAATCCAATAAACTTTATACAAACCACTTTAAAACAGCAGTTGTCATTCAAATCACATAAAGGCAGCAGACTACAGATATTCCACGTGACAGTATTTTTATCCTGGATGTCCCTCGTAGTCCGAGTGCAGCGCTAGTTATTCCCTCTTCTAGAGCTGGTATCTGTTACACAGATATTCTTCAGGTATTCTAAAAAAATCTCTTGTACTTCAAACAAGCTTCACAACTGGGAAGTATTTGTGAGGAGAGAAGTCGAATTCTGGAGGAACCTATAAAGATGATTTAAGATTAGATATTAGACAGCAGTACTACTCCATTTAATACTCATTATGAGAACAACCTGCAGACAGAAAAAAAAATTAAACAGCAATAGACTGAAAAAAACACTGTCTTTGTGGCAGACAGCACTCTCATAACTTTGTTCACACAAGCTGCTGTTCCCGCTATTGAAGAATACCCTTATATTCTATGTTGTCCAACATGCTTTTCCCCATTTTTTTTCTCAAAACTTATAGGTTAGAATTTTCCATATTTACTTAACTACAACAAACTATTTCCAGGGGAAAAATAAAGTTACTTGCCCTGATCTTAGAGCAACTACAGCTTGAATGTGCTCATTTGGCTCTTAAGAGATCTGTGGTGGCTTTACACAGAATTAGATGAACCATTCATGTTGGAAAATCTCCAGATCATTGAATCCAACCTTAATGTATGTATTACTACATTTTATGTTCAATTGAGCTGGCATTTCCTTACCTTAGAGTCTTTCTTGTGGCCTCCTGCCAGCAGCTTCATGACCACAATATTGGGTTTTGCAACTTTTAGAATTCGATTGACCTAAACATAAATCAGAAGGAAGTCTTCAAGCCAAAGCATTTGACCTCACAATTATTTCAAAGATAATACTGTAATGTTGATATTCTATTAGCAATACAGGAGTTTTCTTACAGGATCTGTTTAACAGAGATCAGACTGTTTCAGATTTGTTTTTAAATACCACAGCTGAATTAATTAAATTTAATGAAGGATGCATTTATTTTAAAAGTCACTTTTTAAAAAATTTGACAGGCCACAGAAACCACAGCTTTAACAATTCTTGAATAAAAACTTGGGAACTACAGCAAGTTCTGTGGCACCCACACAAATAAAGGTATAGATAGACTCTAGGCATCTAATCTTCAACATTGCAACACAACGGTAAGAGGAATTCATGTATGAAACTGGTGGCTTTTTGCATGGAGGTGCTCTGGATGTGCTCAAAACTACCTCTTAACTATCTTGGCCTCAAATAGATAGCTCATGTGTGAGTACCACCATGATCCAGAGAGGAAAAAGTGAGTCCTAAATTCTCAGAAGAATCTGATCCTGTAACTCTTCTTAATCTGCTTAGATGTGACAGAAAAAGCATTCTCCTTGCTCCAAAATACAGTCACAGACACTTAGGCTATGGACAGAGGGAGAAATTGCTACCCATGTTTACAGCTCAGTGCTGAGAAAACTGCTCCAGGGAACAAGTGCCAAACTCAATCCTCTTTTCATCATAATGGTATTCAAACCTATTTTCCTCACCTCTCAGGAGTCCACCTGAATTACTAGATGCCAACTGAGCATGACAGGCATGTTATCACTGTCTGGTTAAAAGTGCTGTGCTTTTAGAAGGCAACATGCAAGGAAATAAGCTGCTATCCAGCATCTCGGGTCCTCAGCAGAGAGAGCTTTTTTTTAACAGCGAGCACAACTTTATGCTAGCTGATGTATTGAAAAAGACCACTGTCTACTCCTTAATCAAAGCACTCAACTTTGCTCACCATTTTGATGAAGTACGTTTTGGATCTCAAGAAGATTCAGCTGAAAAAACCACTTACTCTATTTTGAGCAAATACTCGTTTTCCTAGTATTTCAGTCTTACCTCATTGTCTGGATTCGGAATATTCTCAAGAATCATTTTAGCTTGCTGGTAGTGCTTGCTAGCTGCCATGTAGAGATCTGACGACTGAGGAGGTGGGCTATACTTATTTAAATCAGACATTTCCTAGTGTGTTAGAGAAAAACATAAATACATATTAAAATATATAAAATTGAAATTAAAAATTGCCAGGAGATTGTTTTAGTCACATTACTGTATTCAAGAGACATGTTATGTCAACTAAATACTATTGAAAAAATCAAAACTGAAGTTGGAAATATTTACTTAAAATGGCAAAACCCAAGCAATAACACAGTGCTCAAGTATTACAGTGAGCATAATGAAACATAATGAGAAACAGTCTCTCTCTTGAACAAGTCACCACTCATTTGCTTTAATAGTGGCACACAACAGGGTATGATATTACAGGGAAAAAAGTAGATATAAAAAGTATACTGTTTACTCAAAGCTACAGCAAGTCAGATGCTGAAACTACAAAACTTCATTTTATATAATTTTAAATCTTCAAATTTTTTTTGTTCTTGATTACAGATTAAAAAAAAAAACTTTAATGACAAGACCATGATAATTTCTTAATTTCCACTACAACAATTTATAACATTAGACTGGGGAGAGTAACTGGAATAGAAAATAGCACTGTTTCCACACAGACTAACCCCACAAGTGAGACCAGCTGGATGAGCAGCCAGGGGTACTGCAAACATCTAGTTCAATATGAGCCAGCAAGGTGGTCTTACTACAAATCAGACAAGCCTCATATGGGATTATACTAGCAGGAGTATGATCAGCATATCAAGGAAGGTTATCACCCTGAACTCAGTATTTGTGTTCCGTTATCTGAAATACTGCATCCAGGGCTGGATCCACTCAAGTTCAGGAAAGTTGTTGAAATGTGGAGATGGTTGGGGGCCTAGAGCATGTAAGCCACAAGGAGAGGTCAGTGGACCTGAACATTTTCAGTTTTACAGGAAGGATGCTAATGGGTAATTTTAATAGCAGCCTACAACTACTTGAAAGACACTTACAAAGCTGTCAGAAGATAAAGATTCCTTGTTCATGACAACGAATGTAACATGACAAACAATGTAACATGAGAGGCCACAGGTTGTGGCTTGGTAATTTAGACTGGGCATTAGGAAAAAAAATAGCACAGCCCTCAGTTACCCTATGACTTAAAGGACCAGAAAAAAAAAAACCCCGGATCAGGTTTAACCAAAGAGGTTGGAAAATTTCCAACCTTGACTTTAAGATTTGTCTAGACAAAGACACAGGTAATGTGATTTATAATGCTATTTCAAGAAGGGCGCTGGACAAGACAAGCCTCCACTGGTCCCTTCTAAACACCACTCAAAACTTTTTTATTTTTCCATTTGTTTGCTGCACTAATAGAAACACGCTGCTGTAATTAACCACAGCCAAGAAGTCTGTTAATAGACTTCCAAGCGATTTTATTTTCATGCAA